GACTTACATAGCGTCGCCATGAAAAAATGGTAGCCGGATTTTTTACTGGCTTTATGTGATTTCGGATACTGATTGTCGGTAAAATTATGTATTGTGTAATTTAATGACGATTGCTTATTTAGTATTATTAACTAAAATAAGTAAATCACTAACTTTTATTGTTTGACTTTCGCTTTGTCTTTACTATGTCAAATTTACAAGAAAAAGTCTGCGATGGGTGCCACGTATCCAAAAATTATGAAGAATTTCTAAACGAAAAAGGTGTTTCTTTGAAAAAATGTTTAATGTGTCGAAACAAACTTAAAACAAAGCGTCTAAAAAATAAAGTTTCACTTGAACCAACAATAAGTCATACTGACATTACTGAAACAGTGTATAACTCTTTAATTTCTTTAAACAATACTAATGATTTTTACGAAGGAGAAAATAAGGAGCTATACATTAATTTTAATATTGAACTTTCGTCTTTTCAAGATTTTATTTTAGAACAAAAAGAGTTCAATAAAGAAAATCTTAACTTTGAATTTGGTCGTTACATAATCTTATTAATATCAGAGGGTGACGGATACTCGTGGGTTTACCATATCAAGAATCAAAAAAAAAAATCTTTTCTTTTAACATATTACTGTAATTGCCGAATAGAACTTGGAAAACGTCAAGCCAAGCATCCAGATTTAGATAAACAAAGAGATACACCTACCTTTTTAGAAAGATATCATTGCGAAGGGACTATAAATATTGAAATTTTTTTTGAATTGGATTTAATTGTAGTAAAATATTCTCATAAAATGTTACATTCACGACCAAGTCATGTAGAAACATCTTCTGAAATAAAACAGTTCATTAAAGATAATATTTATTGTTCCCCTTCTGAAATTTGTCATCAAGTTCGTGAAAATCAAATCAATGGATACGAGAGTATAACAATCCAACAAACCTATTATTGGTGGTCAGTAGAATCACGAAAGATATATTGTCGACATTCAGATCCTTTATTATCTGCAAAACTTTTATTAGATGAATTTAATTTGCAAATTATTGTAAATAATCTTAATTCGTCTGTGCCTGCACTTGGATTTCTAACGCCATTATTCCATCGATTAATTTTTAATAAATTAGATGCAATAGTAATTGATGCAACGTACGGTACAAATAATTTATCATGGGAATTATATGCGCTTATGGGAGTAATTGATGGTACCGGGTTTCCGTTTAGTTATCTTTTGATTTCAACTGGAAAAAATCGGGACATAACAGGAATTCTTACATATTGGATGCAAGCATTAAAGGATCAACATTTAAAATATTTTCCTTTTATATTAGTTGACAAAGACTTTTCCGAAATAAACGCAGCACAAACAGTTTGGCCGGAAGCTCGTATACAATTATGCATGTGGCACGTACATCGTGCAATTAAACAACGGTTAGCTTCAAATAAAATTAGCGTATATTATTCTTATAATCCCAAATTTGCACATGAAGAATGCTCATCAATAGATCCTAACTGGGGAGTAATAGATTATACAAATTCGGCAATATTTTGCCCTTTAAAATTTCGTAAGACAGTAATAGAATTCATAGAAGATCATTCGAGTAGACATATGTTACTGCCAAAATCTGATGGTAGTTTTGTTACGGATACAAGTGAAATTTGGAAGGAATGTGTTAATGAAATTTTTCAATTTTGCAAATGTAATGATTTAATCCGGTTGTGGGTATACCTTTGGAAAGAATGGTATTCAAAAGAAAAATGGATTTTATGGGCCAGATCAGCTAATAAAAATATTTCCCACATTAAAACCACTATGATCGTTGAAACGCATTGGCGTCACATTAAGCATGATCATTTATATAAATTTCATAAACCTAGAGTCGATCATCTATGTTATATTCTCATCAAGAAAGTTCTTACACAGCAATTGTATCGGGTTCAACTACTTCAGCAAGGTTGGTATTCAGTACCATGGCGAAAAGAGTTCAAAAAGGAATGGAAGCGAAATGAAAAAAAAGAAATAAAATCAAATAATAAATACTTTACTGACCCTGCTAAGTGGATATGTGCGTGCCCTGCATATCGTCTCAGTCGTTTTTTTTTATGCAAGCATTTAGTTCACTTCGTCGAAAAAGCAGATTTGATGTTTTTTAAAAAGGTAAGTAATAATTTATTTTTATTTTATTATGTAATTATGATATATTATTTTATTACATAATTATGATATATATTTTATAACAGGTGCAGCGAAATGGAAGTTATCCATTAATTTCCACATATGAAGGCAAATTGGTAAACGTATTTAACCTGGAAATGTCTCAAAGTCATGAAAATTTAACTGTTCCGCTAATTCAAGACCCCATTATCGAGCATGAAGACGATTACATTATTGAAGGTAGCGATGATGAGCAGGATACATATGAATCACAATTGTCGCATTTACATAAAATTTTAGACAAGGTATTTTCAGTTTAATTATTTCATTATATTTTTTTTAAAGAAAAAAAAAATTTTAATTTAATCTTTAAAGACCAAGGAACTTTTAGAAGAATCCCGTAGCAAACCAAAAAGACATTTATGGTTGAAAAATGTTCGCCCGAATTTTAAATTACTTGAAAAAATGAATAATGACATTTTATCACTAAATAATCGAAGAACGACACCAAGAACTTGGCAAGACTTTAATAATAATACGATGTATTGGGAATGATAAGCTGGCAAACAATTAGAAATGAACGTACATTTCTAATTACAATATTCAAAAAGAATATACAGTGCTTAGTTGTCTTCACGGTAAAATTAATAGCAATATAATTTTAAATTTTTTTAAATGTACACAATTTGAAAAAATGTACCGTATGCATTCTTTATAATTGAAATTATTGGTAATAGTGCTCAGGTTTGGTATGCGCTATATTCAAAGTTATTACGCTATATTTTTGAGATTTTACCCGGCAATTATTTTCCGAAGTTATATGTAAGCCGGCCGGCAAAAAAAATCCGGCTACCATTTTTTCATGGTTACGCTAGGGTTGTTT